GATGGGTTTAGGGTTGAGGTATAGGTTGTTATGGTTTGGGGGGCTTGGGGGGGGTGCATGGTTAGAAAATGGAAATGGTCAATGCTAGCTTATTTTGCCTAGGGTTTCGGCTTTAGACTAAGGGGTTCTATTCTTGTAAGCATCCTAGAATGTGTCATGGATTGTTGAAGAGACTCTATATATTCCCAGACTGTTTTTAGCAGGAAGACTACCATTATCACTACAACTCGTGTCTTTATGGCAGTTCAACGTATCACTTGCTTTCAGTGCAAGCAAGTCGAGCGGTTGCTGCAAGACATGATCTGCACGGCCAATGAGAAAGGACATCGGTGTGTTTGGTAGTAGGAGACGAAGCTTGGTACTCGACCCTTTCCATCGCGGGGTTAAAGATGCTCACCAAATCACAGCAGATACGATCCTACCATGGTCAATAGACGGCCGAGTTGACGCGGCAGCCTGTAGCAAGTACCGGGTCGGGTCTGACACGTCCTCGTCAGACGGCCTCCCCCGCTGCGGGACCACCCGGGCCCCAAGCCCGGAACAGAGCCAGTAAGCCTTTAACCCTTATACTTGCAGCTATAGTAACCCTTATAGTTAGAGTAGCTTTTCGTCAGCTTTTGAAATTCCAAGTTCAAAGGCAGAGCGGCGAGCTGAGGAGCTGGGCCTCCGCCTCCAGGACCCTTTCTCTTGCGAGGGTTCAGAGGTCGAGAGTTGAGGGCTCGGCAGATGCAGAGGGTTTCTGAGCGGAGACTGCAACGTAGCACTTACCACCTGTCCGGCGACAGATGCAGCTAGGTATCTCTGCCGCTGAGAATTTGTAACGCCCGGCTTGTTCCTCCTTGTTGCGGGCCTCGGCAGTGGCAGTGCCTCATCGGGTGCCCTTCAGAGCCGCGTGGCAGGAACAGGAAACGTCGGTGTCTCGGTTTTCAGCTCCACTGAACCAGGAGACTGCACGGTCATGCTAACAACATGTTAGCATCGACGTTGACGTGAAGCCGGATCCGATGGTCAGGGCTCGTCAGCACCTGCGGTCCGCAGGCAGTTCGACACGCCCTTGATCTCTTAATACGTCAAGACTCGACATGGCGTCTCCGGACACTGCTAAAGACAACTTTTCCTGCAGACACAACAGGTTTTCCAAGGCTGATAACTCTCAAGCGACAGGAAAGTGACAGTTCTGACGACCTTCAAAGTAGGTGCAAAGTCGCATGGGCAAGGGGAACAGCAATTGAGAAGCAGCTTCACGCATCTTTATCTATCTCTGTACCCCGCCAAAGCATCAGCAACGACAGACAGGCAGCCCCCGGACAATCTTCTTAGGGCTTAGGACTAGGAGCTGAGATTTTGCTGGCCATGGGTGCCTGGAACCCATGGGAGGAGGCTGCGATGCGCCTGGCATGCGGTAACGACTGCTTTTTCCTTGCAGGCCTCTTCCCTCCGCTGGGCGAGCTGACCAGTGCAACATGGACCTGCACTCAGTGCCCTTCTGCCAGAAGCAGAGTGTTGACACGACCTGCCTTGCTGGAGGCTCATGCCAGGTTTGCGCTATCATGTACTGCGCTTCTGGGATGGCTGGCGCGGGGCATCATGGATCCGGACGAGCAGGATCGCCACTCTAAAGGAATGTTCTCCGTTCAAGCAGACCACAGCGAATGTGGCAACAGGAGAAGAGGCTGGCATGGAAGTACCTCGATTGTTCCAACTTGGTCGACGAGCGTGCCTAGCTTGGAATTTTGCAGCACCGTCTGTTGCCTGAGGTCGCGAGGGCCTTCCATGCGCCATACTCTGTGGAACATTAAACCCTAAACCCTAACTGGACCCTAACCTTGGGTGAGCACTGAAATCATCTTAGGCGACCGGCGCGTCGACTGGCCGTGGTTCCGCCAGCACTTGCTGCAGACTCCGCTTGGCCGGCATGTCTTGGGAGGCTGCGTCGAACGAGAGGGTCGGACAGCAGGAACAAACAATCTAGAAAGTGATGCTGACTTTTCACATTGAGCACGGAATGCCTGTTCCTCGTGACCATCCGTGACTCGGCAGGTACCCAGACAACATGGATGCAGTTTTCACCGTGTTGAACAATCTGGGCACGGGCAGTAGCAATCACTACGACGAGGAGGTGGCTCGCGGTTTCGATCCGGCATGTCAGCGCAATGCTACCAGTTTCAGTCTGAGACACATAGCATGGCACTGCAGGCACGCGTGTGCCTCATGGGAGTGCCGGCTGCCGGGGACGCAGAGATGCTCACGAGCCTGAGATGGTTGCTTTCGACACAGTCCAAGCCAAGCTGTCCTTTCCTCCCTATCGGCCCCGCCTATCGGCTAGATGCTGCTGAAGGCATTTTTCTATCTCACCCGCTTCACGCTGGACACGTCTTGTGCTCAGCCACTATCTGCTTGGGCCTAGCTGCGAGGCATCGAGTCAGCGAGTGGACTTTACAGGTAGACGAAGTCGCCAAACCCAAGCAGCCTTTGGTTCAGAGCCACCAGCCCTTCTCAGCCCGAAGGATGGAGAGGGACGCAGATGGCCGTGCCGTTGATGCAGAGACCGTCAAGAAGGCGCGAGCTGTTGGGAGGTTCGCCGAAGTAGAGCTTCATCTTCCCATGCACTGTTTTGATTGTCACACTCGGATCACTAGGCTGCTACTGCTACTGCTACTGCTACTGCTACTGCTACTGCTGCTACTACTACTGCTACTACTACTACTCCTCCTCCTCCTCCTGCTGCTGCTGCTGCTGCTGCTACTCTTGTACGATCCTTCATTCTGCGATAATTCTACTCGATGATTGCGTTTCTATGGCACCTCCCTGTTTGCATGGAGCCGGCGAGCTTCAGGGCAGGATTTCCACGCTGCTGCCACGAACCGCCAGTAGATATCTAGGTTACCAGGTTGTAATATAACTTTGGGTCGAATAATAAGTATTGTCATTCTGACAATTACTCTATTCATGATGATGATGGCGACTATGATGACGACGACTATTATCATTATTGTTTGTTATCCTTTGTTAACACAAATTACCATCATGTTTGTTGCCTTCAGAAACTAAGGGTCCCCAAGACCTACCTTGCCCGGGCTCCGAGGCGACACTGCAGTATTCGGTTTTTGAGAACTACATCTCGGCCCTCCATCCAGGTGGGAGTGCAGACTTTCAGAGCGCATTTCGTGTTCATCTGGGCTCTTGCTTAATCTTGCTTAGTGAGACCAGAACCCTCTGTTCCTTCTTTGACAGTGCACGGCTGGGCTGTAGCAGCAGCTGTTTGTGCCAGAGTTTGAAGTGCCTTCACTTCTTTCGAGTTTTTGGAGGGACCGCCGCTCTGTCCTGGCTTACAGAGTGTTTTAGTTTCGTTTCACCCAAGAAGCCAAGAGAGCCGTCTGGGCAGCATGATGCATGCGCTGCAAGCATCTGCGAGCTACCTGCAAGCTATCTGCAAGCTTCCTTCAGTTCTCTGTCGATCCCAGAGCTTTCTGAATAGCTGCAACTCGTCACTTTCCTGACCTGTCAGATCCTGCAGCCTCGAGGATCAGTATAATAGCACAGCAATTTGGCTCGCCTGCCTAGCTCGGAGCCTACGGTCTTTGCGCCGCAGCTGGCCAAGGCCCACCCAGAGAAGCAGATGGTAGCAGGACTTTAGGAATTGATTTCGAGTGACTCGGGAGCCCGACCAAGCTTCCTGGAAGCAGTCTGATGTCATAGTGATGTCATCGATGGCTCATCCCCGCTGTCCAGGCTTCCGCATTGTAAGGTCTTACGTGGGCTCACCCCCTGCAGAACTGGGTTCAGGTTGCGCAGCTGCTGGAGAAAATGGCCGCTCGGCTTGAGATTGGTGGAGGGCTTGAGCCTGTCGCCGTGCCCCCCGAACCGCCGAGCACGGAATCCCAAATCTACTCCGAGCCTGCACTGAGACCGCATAGAAGATGGCGCAGCAGGAGTACGTGGAGGGGAGGCTCGTTGCTCTGGGCTCTGATCCCGAAGCCGAGCCTTCCTTCGACCACGCCTCGACCAAGCTGAAGTTTCACACTGACTGGGGCTTTTCTATCGGGAAGTGTCGTGAAGTTCTTAAAGAGACTACGACTTTTGCTTCCAGGCTGCTGGATGGCTTCCTGCTGCTGGCGGCCGGCGGGTCCGGACAACCCGAGGGGGTCGGGCCCTTGTTGTTCGCTGGCCAGCGGCTGCCTCAAAATAACATCTCATGGTATCCCTGATACTGTCCCTTAAAGTTCCCCTTACAGTAATCAGCCTTTTGCACGACGACTTTGTGAATCCTTCGTCTGCTAGTAAGAGGATCCTCGTAGCAGTCTGTGGACATA